CTTGTGACTCAGGTTCTGGGTTTTGACCATTTGGAGTGGCAGGGCACTCCAAATGGTCAAGTTTTCGCCTCCAACTTGGTCGTAAGTTGTGATGGGTTTGCCAATCGGATGCACATCGACAAAGACCACACCAGGTACGCATTTGGTCTTTTTGGGCTTATCATACGTTCGACCGGTGAGCCTTGTGATAAGGCTACGGCCCTCAAACTGGGATCTGTTCAAGGTTTATACTTTGTGGTCAAGGACTTTGGTATTAAGATTGCGTTGACACGTTGTAATGGAATATATGAAGTCTTGTGGGATTCAAAAGTCAGTGTTAAATAAAGATTTAATCCGATTTTCGACGTGGATACTAACACACCTTGCGATGCTGGTTTAGATCCCTCATTATACAACCACGTAAAAATCATTTGATGCAGAAGGTTGCAAGGTCAAGCCCGAAATTTGTAAGGTGACACACTTTGGCTCGTCTTGTCAAATTTCAGAAACCTTGGTCAACAGGATCCAACTCCTACATAAAGAGAAGGAAAAGATGAGTGCAAGCGAGTGGGAGAAGTTCAAAACCAAGCGGGTTAAGACCTATGAGAATGAGAATAATATAAAAATGGACCGTTACAAGATTAAACAGGCTTTACGTAAAGAGTGTGCTAGGATTAAGAGGGCTGCCAAAGTGGCTGAATTGATCAGAATGTTACCTAAATGAACCTTCCATTTTTTCTTTTTGCTTTTCTTTATCTTGACTTGGTTTTGAGTCTTTGTATTTCATCCAAGCTTTGTCTGACGAATGCCCAAATCTGACCTCTTATGACCTCCACTTTTTTCATCTTTCTTTTCTTTATTTTGACTTTGTTTGAAGTTTTTGTATCTCGAGTCAATGAACAGAACCGAGTAACACTATTCAATCACAAGTAAATAATCATTTCACATTGCCTTTTCAATGTACAACTGCAAATGACATGGTGGGAATGATATTCCCACCAGTGAGAATACACACTTCACCTAAGAGGCAATGAACATTTACCACCGGGTAATTTCATTTCCGATGGGTGAGACATTTAACACTTGTGTGAATGACATTATCACTGTTTGTCATTTGTATTCCCACAAGGGTGAATCTTGTATACCTACACGGGGGAATATTGCATTCCCGCAGGTGGGCACTTGTATTCCCACCTGTTTCCCACAGTGGTAATTTTCCATTCCCCATGTGTGAATGCTATTCCCGCAGGTGGGAACATGTATTCCCACCTGTTTCCCACAGTGGTAATTTTCCGTTCCCCATGTGTGAATGCTATTCACACAGGTGGGAACTTGTATTCCCACCTGTTTCGCACAGTGGTAATTTTTCATTCCCCATGTGTGAATGCTATTCACACAGGTGGGAACATGTATTCCCACCTGTTTCCCACAGTGGTAATTTTCCATTCCCCATGTGTGAATGCTATTCACACAGGTGGGAACATGTATTCCCACCTGTTTGGGGGGGGTGGTAATTTTCCATTCCCCATGTGTGAATGCTATTCACACAGGTGGGAACATGTATTCCCACCTGTTTCCCACAGTGGTAATTTTTCATTCCCCATGTGTGAATGCTATTCACACAGGTGGGAACTTGTATTCCCACCTGTTTCCCACAGTGGTAATTTTTCATTCCCCATGTGTGAATGATATTCCCACAGGTGGGAACTTGTATTCCCACCTGTTTCCCACAGTGGTAATTTTTCTTTCCCCATGTGTGAATGATATTCCCACAGGTGGGAACTTGTATTCCCACCTGTTTCCCACTTGTGTGAATGACATTGTCCCATGTGGGAATTTGTATTCCCACTGGTGGGAATACAATTTATTCCCACATGGGGAAAGCAAAATTAAAATTCCCAATATCCACCAGTGTGAACCTTGTATTTCCACTAGTTTCACACTGTTTAACGTAAGATCTCCACCAGTGGCCATCTGGGTGACAAGCAGCAGAGGGGTGTGAAACTGACTTCAATCACTTTGTGATAACTGAGTTTGATGTGAGAGGGAAATGTCGCATTGTCACATGAGTTGTAATCTTTGCCAACATGAGGACTTTGCAGCTTACATTACCTAACTAGAACTTGTATTTACACTGAGAACTTGTATTTACACTGAGGACTTAACGGCATATTACAACATATGTTTTGTATCTACAATCAAGGTGTTTCGGCTTCACTATCAGATGTGACAGAAACTGATTTTGTGCGATGAGGAGTATTTTCTTGGAGTAGTCGACTTTGTTGGGCTATCCACTCTCTTTGCCATTTCGAAAAACAGAAAATATCTATGTTTCGAGTATACAAGTTGACCCAATCATGCGCAATGGGAAGATGTAGATGGGTCCATTCGGGATGAAGGAAAGGGATGGGTGTTTCGTTCGTTTGCAAGACATCGAGGTGTATAAAATGTTTACCGTAGATTAACGCCAGGTTGATGGGTCGAATATCGGGGTCCAGGGGTGAAAAACAGGGAAATACCAGAGTGGAAAGAGCATCAGAGGGGTTGTAATATATGACTGGTCGGTGGTATGCATTGGCAATTATAAAGGCCCCAGATGGCATTGGATACCACTTGCTACGAGTGGTGGTGGGATCTGTTGAGTCCAAGATAGAAGTCATTCGGGTGATGTCGAATGCATCACCTGATATTTTGGGTATGTTTTCCTTGTACCACTCATATTTTGAGTGGACATGTTTTGAAAGGTCGGCTCGAACAGACGCTCCTTCGTCTTCTGTTCGTCCAAGGGATAGTGCAACAGCTGAAAAGGCACAGAGTCCATCACTGGGGACATTGGTGGCGGAGCGGATGAAAGGAAAGATGTATCGAGGTATATCATCGAGAAAGGGCCATGACTGTCGTGAAAAAGTATCTGAGTTGATTTCGTGTTGATTTTTGGGTAGATGTTTGACATAAATGAAATACCTGCAGGACTGTTCTCTCAATATCTTCTGCCTCTCTCAATTCCTCTGGGGACATATGTTTTAAAAACTGATCAACGAAAGAGTAAAAGAGTGAGGGGGACAGACAGAAGTTCAAGTCAAGTGGAACTGAGTGATGGATTGACGACTTACATTGGGTTTTTGCAACCGCCTGCTCTTGTGTGCAGTTTTGACTAATAGCTCAGAAGATTCGTTCGCCAGTCCAGAGTTGGTCGCCGGATCAGTCGATTCCAAAAGTGAGCCGCTTGTCAAATTAGGAGCGAGTGTTGTTGAGACTGAGTTAGTGGTCACAGCTGCAGCAGTTGTGCCACTTTCGTCAGGGTTTAACTGTGAATTGGTGTATGAGTATATTTGGCTGAAGGAAGTGTGGTTGAGACGCTTTACCTTAGGATGTTCAGAATTGCTGCATAGTGTTTTGTTTTCGGCAGCTTTGCGTCTTGAGGATCAAAGCCCGACTACTAGGCATCGGGATTGCTGCCTCCGTCTGTAGGGATGTCGCCTT